TTTTTTTTCTCACTTCGCGACCATGAATTGGATACGATTTTTTTCTTTTAAATTCATTGTTTAGATTTAGTGGGTTAGTTATTGATAATGGGAGTACCATAGCCCAAAAGTTAGCTATTGATATTGAAGAGCCCAAGTTCATAATAAATACTACACAATAAGTTATACTTTCTGTTAGAAATTGAGCCAATTGTTAAGAATTACCTATTGTTCTAATACCACTTTTAAAAAAATAAGCCAATTTGCAATAATTTGGTGGTACAACTTATACCACTTATTACGAATATAAAAGCTAAGAAACAGATGCCCCCAGGGCACTTCTCCACTGGCAAATGATGGGTTCTCTAAAGGCTGGCAGTTCAGAGGTCGTGGGTTCGATTCGTGGGGCTCTTGAAAGGCAAGGCATATACTGGAAGGCAGGAATGTTTTGGAAGGCAAGGCGCAACGTGGGTTGGCTTACTAGGCACTTTGACAGTTCAGTTGGAAAGGCGTTCGGACCCTGATCAATAGGAAGCATATCCCGCGGTTTAATTGGTTTGTGTGAAGAGGGGCCGGATCACAGACCCAAGGAATAGTCGTCGAAGGCGGACACTTGATATAAAAAAAAAAAAATGCTAAGAAACAGATTTAGAATAAAAAAGAACTCTGGCCACTGTGTAGAGTGGGTTGCTAACATTTTGCGGAAGCCCAAGGAGTTATTCTAGTAAGCTGTATATATTAAACCCAAACCGACCCACAATTGATCCATTATGTGTGAAGCTTGAAGAATTATTAAAACCGTTTTTTGGTAATACACAACTTTGATTTAAAGGCAACTCTTCTGGATGGCTGACAAGTGGAATAGTTTGCACCATTTCATATAAATAGGCACGGGATGCCTTTAGGGTTTGATATGGTTTTCAGTTTCCTCCCCTTCTTCATGTATTCTGCTCTCTAGTGTAATCTTGGCCATCTTTTGGATGATACTTTGTGATTGTTCGAACAAAACCTACAAGCGTACAGTTCGTTAATAAGTAATAGAAATCATTGAGTCTCGAGTTTATCGTTTCCTCGAAGAATAAGGATTAATATCTAGTTTAATAGCTTTTACCGAAATTCTATGTATCGTAACACAAAAGAGATTGTGTTTGTTGTTTATACTAATTCTAACTAAGAAAGCAATTAAAAGAGGTTTCATTGATATGAGACAAATGTATTAGATTTCTGAACCCCCCTATTAGTGTATTTTAAATTCTTGACACATAAAACGTAGTAAGTATTTTCTAGTTTTAATGACAATCAATAATCCGATTTTATTCAATATTCTGTTTTAAGATATAGTAAACCTATGTTTATCACGATCCGCTCTCATTCCCAGTCTAAATTCATATGAAAACCATGCATTAATTCACATGGTTTATCACACAAGATTGTATGCACTATGAATATTATTTCTAATATCTATTGTCCATGTGTTAAATATACAAGCCCTGTTTGACCACATTCTTTCAAAAAATACATTCTTAAATAGTGTTTTGACATCATTTCAATTACACATTCTTCAATAAAATAATATTACACGTAAATACAAATTTTTTCCTTATTTTTCAACCACACATTTTCTATCAATACACTATTCAAAAATATATTTTTATAAACATAATGTGGCTAAAACAAAGGTATAGTGTTCTATTTATTGTGAGTCTTACAGTACCACAAATAGACAACAAATTATCCAATTGATAGCTAAACAATTAAATAACACAATGTGAATGCATACATAATAAAAAAAATCAAGAAATTACTAAATTGATAAGTTATGAATTGACTTTAACAACCAATAAAGTTCATCATCCATCCAATACAAAAGAAATCTAGTTAAATATGTTTTTAATGATAAAACAAGAAGAAGAATGGAAGAATATCACCTGAAATTTACAAATACAAGAAAGAGATATCATGGTCTAATTCTTGTTCTTGATTACCAACATCAAAATTTGATTCTTCAAGTTCTTGATGTTTCTTGATTCAATCCCTTGCTAGATTTATTTTCTTCTCCAACTTATTTTGAATTTGCCCACTGTTCTTAGATGATTTTATGATATGAATCTAATTTGAGATGTGAGAGGGAGATCCTCCAATGGTTACCTATGTATTATATTTCATATGATGAAATCGGGTTAAAATTCACTTTCAAATTGCATTCCAAAAAAGTTTCAATCAAATAAGGAAAGTTGCCTTTATGTGCACATGATTTTGTCTTTGCACAACTTTCAGTATTTTGGTTATAACTTTATCTTTTGATATTCGATTGAGGTGATTCAAAGTGCTTTGACAATCTAACTCAAATGACTACAATTCTTCTAGAAATAGATTTTTTCAAATTCGAATGATTACTATTCCAAAAATAGGTTTATAACTCTAGTTGAAAATCTAAAATATTTCTTTTGTGGTTGAAATTGATTTGTAAAGATCTTTGATTATATTTCATTCTTTTTTGACTTCTTATTGCAGTCAATTGATCTTAACAATCTCTAATTATTGAATTGAAGTCCATCACAAGTTTTGAATATTTGCACTTTAGTTCTCGAACTTTGGATTACACAATTTTTCTCTAATTTCAAATATGGGTTTTTTCTAATAAAAGTAATAAATAATAAATTAGGCACTAATCCGTTCAAAGAGTAATAAAATATCATCATTTAGGATCTCGAATAAGAATAGAAACTATACTTATCAGCAATTTCTGAATGAAATATTGTATGGTGAGAGAGAGAGAGAAAGAGAACGCGCAAAGACTGTATTGCTTTTTGTGAGTAGTTGCGATTAAAAGGAGAGATTGAAGGAATAGAGTTTGAAAACCCTTGTGTTCGTACTGTAATTGAACCTTATCTCCTTTTGGGGCTTTATAGTGGATTCGAGCTTAATCGTAAGGGATGCTCAACGGGAGATTAAGCGTTAGATGTGATCGTCGAACCTCCAAGGCCTTTGATTGAAAAATTCTTGTGTTCTTGATGTTTTTCTTTAGTTTATTTTACTCTGGGTTTTTGAGTTACAAATGGTTGAGTCACAATCTGGGACCATCACACTGCCGATCAAGCAACAGTTGAGTGGTAAGCAAACGGTCGTTGCGGCCCTGCTTCTCGAGCCAAATTTCACCGTTTCTTCTATAATGGACCCCTAGGCGTCCCGAACCAAGATCTTGGACGCTAGTTTGTTGTCCAACATTTCAAAACCAAGTTTTCAATTATCCAAAGTCATTTATACTAATCAAACTTACAATCTTTGATGAACTTTGATCCATTTTTTAACTGGACTTCCAAACCAAGAAGATTTTTGTTTCTTTTATCAGTTAACCAACCCAATCCTAATCCAATAGGAATTTGGCTTATGCTCCAACACTTGCGATTAGTGATTCAAGTCCCATAACCTTGCATCAATACAATGATATTACAGATTATAAATCTATATTCTTTTCCTTTTTCAGAAATTTTAAAAACCTCACCTGCGCTTAGTTTTGGTAACAGATTCCCTCAGTCAGCTAAAAACTAAAAGTAAACATTTCTCATTTTACCCTTTATAATGAACTTGCAAAATGGATCTGTTATAAAATTTATAAATTTATTAAATGAAATCTTTTTAAATATATGATTGACAAATAATTTAAAAATCGATGTAAATAAAATTCTTAAAAGGATTTAATCCTTTACGTCTCAATGAAAAATTCGAGAAAGAAAGTGTTCTAACTAGAAGCTTTGCTTCCTTATTCAACGTAATAACTAGTTGAGTTAATTTCATTTCCCATGCTACTAATGTGGAATATCAATACCTTGACACTTTTGTTATAGCTATTGCAGTCACTGAAGTAGCTATTGGACCGGCTATTGTTTCATCAATTTATCGTTAGATTAATTAATAAGGCTAGTTAAAAATTTATTATAATTTATAATATTCTTATGAATTTTATTAAATTTTTAAATATGATTTTTTTTAAAATGCTATTGTTAAATAATGAACATATCAACATAAATAAATGTTTGAAAATAATAATAATTTAGTATAGCTAGTTAAAAATTATTAAACCCTTGTTCGGTGCTACTAGAATCAAGATTTTAATCTTAGTTAAAGTCAACAACTAATTTTAACCACATATTTTATAGGACCCACAATTTTTCAATAACACATTTCATCACCTCCTATCAAAATCTACTAAATATCTGATTTTAATCTCCACCAAATAGAAGCTAAATGTTTTACATTGCTTGATTTAGAAACGTTTTCTCAAATTTTTTTATTTTTATGTTCTTTACCTATAAATTATATTAAGTTTAGAAAATTAAAATAATATTCTCATAATATTACAAATGCAAAAAAGTTGGCATCAAAGGTTTGAATCTTAAATTCATTTTAGTCCAACTTTTTATTATATATAGATCAATTTTAGTTTGTCCATTTAATATGAATTCAAATATGGTTAAGATTTAATAACTTAATAAAAAAAAGATTATTTATTTATTTTTTTAATTAAAACAACCCTTTTTGTCTAAATAAAAATTTTAAAAAAAGAACAAGAAAAATAATATAAACGTATTTGCATGACATAAGAGAGAATGTACGTAATTTTTTTTTTTTGATGACGAGGGAACATATAGTCGCTACTCTTCGGGTATGCATTGGGTAAACTCTTGGGCTGATGCAAGAGCCTAAAAATCACGCCAGTCAGGTAAACTGGACTAGGCAAGCCCGGTGCAACAGGCTCAACCAAGAAAGTTTTGGTAGGGGGAATCGAACTCGTGAACAAAGGTCTCCACGTTCACCCATTCTACTAACTCGGCCACCCCATGAGGGGCTACGTCTGTAATTTTTAATAAGGGAAAAAGTGGCTCTCTACAATTGCTGAAGAGCCACAAAACCGAACTTCAGAAAACCAGAAAGAAAATCCTAGAACAATACAAAGCATAAGTTAATTTACTGGCTTATTTAACATCATAGAAAACATTAGTGAAAATTCAAGAATCTGCTACTTAATCTTGTGATCTTCGGATTGATTCAAACATCTACTTTCAATCAAGCAAGAACATGACTGCTTAATTTATTCTCCAACTCAAACTATATGCACAAAGGCAACCGTAATTATGCAGTAAAACACAAAAGGTGAAAAAGTAAAACTATATTGCACTGAGGAAGGAAGTAGGACTCGGAGGTAGCGGGATTTCTACAGTCCCTTCCAACATCAATAGAACTTTCTTCATCGACGGACGGAGAGATGGTTCATCTTGGATGCACCAAATACCTATTTTAATCATTCTATCCAATTTTCTCTTGTCAACCTTCTCATCTCCCACCAGTTTATATACCTCCCCGGTCTCGAAAACATTGTAAACCCATTCTTCAAGAATAGCTTCATCTTCAGAGAGGCTCCAATCGACACTTTTTCTACCACATATGATCTCTAGTAACACAATTCCGAAGCTGTAAACATCTGCTTTAACCGTCACAGGTAATTTCCTGTGCCACTCAGGGGCCACGTAACCCAAAGTTCCTCTTATCCCTGTGTAGGTATTTGTTTGATCTTTCTTTAAGAGCTTTGCCAGTCCAAAGTCAGAAATTTTTGCACATCTATGCTCATCCATGAGTATGTTTTGAGGTTTTATATCACAATGAATGATCTGGGTCTCGCACTCCTCATGCAAATAGAGGACGCCTCTTGCAATATCACAAGCAACACGAATTCTTTCTTCCCAACAGAGTCGATTTTCATGATTGAAAAGTATATCTGCAAGTGATCCATTTTTCATGTATTCATATACTAGAAGCCAATTAGCTCCTTCATGGCAGTAACCAAGAAGTTTGACTAGATTACGATGATGCGTTTTTCCAATCACCTTCATCTCAGTCTCGAATTCCTTTTCTCCTTCTTCCAATTCTTTGTCGAGCCTCTTCACGGCCACAATACTTCTGTTGTCCGATAAGATCCCTTTGTAAACTGTGCCAGACGCTCCTCTACCGAGCTCTTCTTTGAACTCATTCGTTGCTTCCAGAAGCTCTGGATAGGTGAATGCTCTCAAACCAACACCCTCAATCAGTTCAACGTGGGAGATCTTCTTATATCTCCCAACATGATTTCTGTGGATATAAATCCCAGAAATTGCCAGGATCAAGGTGGCTAAAGCAAAAAGTGAAATGCTTATAATTAAGACATCTAAACGAATCACTTTCTTGATTTCTTTGCCCGAATCACTTGAAGCTCCTCGAGTCGACTGTGTTATTGTGTTCACCTTGATAAGAGCAACAATTGGATTACTCCGCACTCTTCTTCCAAATCTCAACGGAAGCCTTTGCTTTTTGCAGTTTCCATCTTCCAAGAAAGCTGCATCGCAGTTGCAGTCCTCTAAACAGGCTTTTGCACAATCTTCTTTTGTCAGTCCTCCTAAAATAGCATAATTAGCATCTTCCCACACTGTGTCACCCAGTGATCTCATTTGGTAACTGACATTTTGATTATTGGCTTTACAACCTTCCATGGGAAAATTCCTTTCACATCCCGAGGTCCAATTGCCGGGATTAACATGATCGAATCCAGGAAGACATTCACACTCCGCAGCTGTATCCAACTGAATACAATAACCATTCAACCCACATAAACCCAAAGGGGCACATTTATCTTCCGAGGGTGACCATTCTTTAGTCCAGTTTCCTTGAGGATCCAACGAGCGATAATATAGTCGAAAAATACCATCAACATCAATTCTCATGAGGTAGATAGTTTTTTTTCGATGTTGTCCTCTCGTTAAATTGCTTATAATGGCGCTTCCGTTGAACAAGTAAAGATGGCCATTATTATCAAGATTCAGTGATACATTATTGCCTGTTCCCATTGTGCCAGATGCATAGTAAGCATAATTGGGTCCGGAAATTTCCACAGGGTATTGCACCAGGTTCCCATCAGCTTGCATTGCGAGACGGAAAATACCTCTGGCAGGGTTCGTTTTCGAAGCACTGGAGACGAGTTCTGCTCCAGCCTGGAGGAGTTGGCCAGGCAAAAGAGTGTCCGTCGGGTAATCAAAACTCTGCCATGTAATCCTCCGAGAGGAGTCATACAACACGAAATTGCCACTGTCAAGCATTGAAGCTGAAGCAACAGACCGGGCTGAATTCACAATATTTACTTCATCTCTATCTTCCTGCTGCAGAATGATCCGTCCATCATCGGTTAATAACAAAACGGCGTTGGTGGGGAAAACTGGTTCATCCCTGTTGGCTGTCCACACTAAAGTCTTTTCTGGAATCCCAGCAATAAAAATTCCAACAGCATAGCCATTGGTTAGCTTGTAGAATCCAAATGCATAGAGTCCAGAAGGTGACAACCATGATGAATTTGTAGTGGTTGTTAAAGAAGATCCAAGGGAAATGTTGGAATATCTTTGTTGCTGGGCTGATGCTCCCATTAACGCAGAAAGAATGAGAAGAGAGGGAAAAGCAGCCATGGAAAATAGGCTTTCCATTTTAATTTCGTGGAATATTGCTTCTTTGTTTATGCAACGATATACGATTTTATATAACTTTGGTATTCGATGTGCTTAATTGAACCTTAGGGTGTGTTTGATTACATTTATTTTCCATGGAAAATATCAGTTTTCCACCCAAATTCCTATTTAGAGTGTTTGATTGCTATTTTTTTCCATGGAAAACATTTTCCAACTTTTGAAAATATGCCTAATTTTCCTTGTTTTTAAGGAAAACATTTTCCTTGGGTAGAGGTGGTTTTTATTTTCCACAAAACATGGAAATTATTTTCTTTTCTAGGTGATATTTTCCATGTCAATCAAACACACTCTTATTGCTATAGGAACTTTTATTGACCAAGGCAACTAAAAGGTTTGAAAATTCACTCCTTTTAAACGAAGCTTAAAATATATGAAGGGTTTGTTTGGCTGAGATATTTTAAAATATTTTAAATCACACATTCTCCTAAAAAGTCATTTTTCATTTGAAAGAAAATTCTTCCAAATAAATACTATCACAGGAAAAAATAATTAGCCACCCAATATTTTTTACTACTGTGTAATCAATAAATATAAAATATACAGAAGATCAAGAAAATTCTCGTATTAAAATCAAATAAATCTCCATCTCTTTATTTTTCTAATTATTTAAAATTAAAGATTTCAAAAAATTCATTCCTGTCAAATCAAGTACCAATTACAAAGTGATTTGGAACCCAATAAGTCAATATTTCTATCTTGGTTCTTTTCTTAATTTTAATTTTAATTTTTATTTGACACAAAATTTTTAATCACGGTGCAAGGTATATTCCATGTAACTTCAAGTCATGGATCATGTAGAATGCACTATTTCAATTCCACAAAAGTTGGTGTATCTAGAAGAAGTTGAATTTTCACAAGTGTTTTACTTCATGCTATGGCGATTAACTATTTTTTTCACATTAATGATTGATTTAGAATAGGTCTACGTCTTGAGTGGAAGAAAGAAAAACTTTAGCCCGTGTCTTGGGGGGGAGAAAGAAAAACTTTAGCCCGTGTCTTGTGGGGGAGAAAGAAAAAGAGATGGAGAAAGAAAAGAAGAGGGGAGAAGAAAGGAGGGAAACTACATAAAATAATTGTATAGTTCATTAATTAAAGTTGGTAAAATACAACGAAAAAACCACACATAATTCAACCAAACACGCTTAACAAACTATTGAAACTATTCAACAATAACTTTTAAGAGAAAAATCATCTAAATAATTACAGAACAACTTATAATTTAATTTATAACAATTCTTCATAAAAACTCCTTCAGAAATATTCTAGAGACTTCCATCATATCCAACTGGGAAAACTCAAATTTGACGAGACAAACTGCAACCTCTTATCTATCTTTCAGATCAAATCGACATTGAGCAGCATATAATACAGATGGCACGAATGTCCTCGATAAGGAAACCAATATGCTATATTGAAAACAAAACCTTTACGTACCCTATTGAGGTTGACTAAAATTAAAAGAATATTTTTATAATGTAGAAGGATCAATATTTTAAATAGAGCACCCTAGTATAATACAAATAGAAAACAGACTAGAGACCCGGATGACAAACCAAGAGGAAAGAGAAGTCCAAATTACTTGGCTTATAAGATGTGTAACCATAGTTATATTTATTTTCTGTCTACATATTTGTGAATCTTATGAGAAAGTAAACTATTTACCAAACATGCTATTATATATAGGTAATTCATTCGTAATTTGTATTTGCAATGAGCTTTCTCTTTGACAATTTGGCTATATTATTTGTTGTGAAAGTTTGCTCCAAGGATCGTCAAAACGGTGTTTTTCAGACTCAGTCCAATGTTACATTTTTTTTTTTTAACTAAACAACCAATCCAACCGATTTCAATCTACTACCGATATATTCACCTTAGTTGCTTCTGAATCTCACCCATAAATGATAAGATAATGGTGATGATTTGTAGCCACAAAGACAAGAGAAAAGGCAATGTAAGGAAGCACAAGAAAGAGACAAAATCAAGGAGCTAACCACCAATTTTTGGCACCACAAAGGAGCTGGTTTTTTCACCCTTATATGGTGCACATTTTTTCACACACAAATCACACAACAAATGGCTAGGGTTTTGACCATATGAATAGGGTTAGGTTAAACTTTTAATTGGACCAATAACAAAGCTAAACGTGTCAAGATTCAAAATCATCCAAGAGGAAATATAATTGGATTAGGTAGAGCCTTTGGAATTGATTGTTGGTATTTATTTCGTTCACAGACTTAGGCCTATAAAATATATATTCTCACGTTAATATTATAGCCCAAAATTTATTGGATATCAAAATCCAACAAATTTCCACTTTGATGCCCAATAAACCTGCAAGCAATTAAAACACATAGTTATTACTTGCATAATTAAGGTAGCCAATAAAATTGGAATTATAGACCTTACCTCATGTTTCGGACTCGAAACACATACCATACCTGCTCCATGTACTCACCAGGGCTAAAGTCAAGAACACCCAAGTAGAAGCAAATATTCACAGTAATCAATCAAAAACAAATAATCATGCATGAAGATATAATATAGGATAACACATACATATCTTTTAAACAATTTTCTTCACATAGAACAATAGATTAACACAAAGTTAATCAACAGATGACCAATACATATGCAACAAATACATAAATGACCTCACGAAAAGATCTCACCTCACTTATCCTATCCCATTTCGTGTTACTCACACCTCGATAACACATATCTCCTCTCATTGTTCACGATGCTCACTAAACTAATCACTTAACTCACGTCTAACTGATAAGTCACAACAAATCCTAAGTCTAGGGGATAATTCTCTATCACCACGTCACTTCTCCCGACCTATGTGGATAATGGGTCTCCACCTAAAAGAAGTGATATAAGTGCCACTCTCACACTCCACCCGATCAGGGCCTTTTTACAGTTAAATGATTCTAGAGATTTAATCACCTCACCACTCGTGAACCAATGTCACATTCTACATCTCTGGTACAAACCACCAATGTACCCCTAGACATCTGTACTCTACCTTATAAAGAGACATATAACACATTGCTAATGTATCCAAACACACTATGCATGTAAATAATTACACAAAGTAATTAGATTGTATTAAATTCATGCAAACATACATATCGAACACATTGAAATGTGACATATAATCATGCAACAAAATTCAACAATCACACACATGCAGAAAGGATTGTACACTGTACATGCAATAATTAGGTTTATCTCAATAAATCTCACTAAGGTCATTATTCGACCCTATAGCCAAATTCGCCCCACCTCTCATTTTACCCTTCTGCTTTTCCTTCTTGGGATAGTCCCTAATAAAGTGTCTAGACTTACCATACATATAACACCATCTACCACTAGTCTTGTCACGTCTCTTGCTTTTCTTCTTACCACACTCATCACTCGAGTCACTACTCTAATCACTATGGTTTTGAGCTTACCCAAATTCATTTGCTTAAACTTTATTCTACTCCTCATTATATGTAACTCACAACTCTTCTTATTATTTTTTTTTCAACCTTAACCTGTATCTCCTTTGTCTTAAGAGAGTCTATGACAGTCTCATGTGTTAAGGCATCCCTATCATACTTAATTACGTTTTTAACCTCTCTATATGAATATGACATTAAATTAAGCAAAATAATAGCCTTATACATTTTAAACACATTTTCATCACAATTAACAATATCTTGAACAAATTTTTTAAAAACATCCAAATTGTCATCAAGATCCTTTGCAGGATCCTTCTTAAAACTGCAAAATCTTTCAAGCAAGTATAACTTATTAGGAGCATACTTAAGCAAATATAAGTATTCCAACTTTTACCAAATTTTTTTTAGAATCAAGTTTTCCAAACTTTCTTAAGACAATGTTAGATAGGTGTAACATAATTAAGGTGTAAGCAAGTTCATCATATTCCTCCTTTTGTGTTTCTATCAAATTTGTAGAAAATTTGCCATCCGTGATTTTTGAAACTTTTTTGTTGAACCAAAATTCCCATCATCTTTTATTGTCAAATTGAAAAATCCTGTTTCCCATTGAAAATTTTAACTTTGAAATGTGAAGACATTTTCAGGAAATAGAACAACTAAATGCACAGATAGATCACAAAAGTAATCCTAAAGCCGTAATATACACATTTCTACATTTCCACGGTTTCATAAAATTTGCGATCTTAGATCAAGGGAATGTTCAAATGGATAAAGTCCAGGTGTTTTAATAGCATAATCAATGTAACACGAATGTATGTTAATAAAAAATTCAAATTCTCACGCAATGCAGTCTCACACAGTGACTATATAACAGTTAGAGCACAAAACTAATTACCAACTTGCAATCAATTCAACATTTCAAATATGACAAATAATTCCTAAATTTCTAGTACAAGCAATGGTTGCCTTTTCACGATAACCCCATTCATAATGTCACCTCACATGATGACGCGTTAATGTTAATATTTAAATTGGGATAAGCCAATATATGAAAGAGGACAAATCCGAGTCCATACATTACGAGAGATACAAGTTTATCACTTTAGAACTACAACTATTCGTCCTAAACTCTCTCACAATCACAGAAGTCAACCAATTATAATGGAATCTCGAACGTGTGAAGAACAGAATCGTCCAGACTTTGTTGTATAACTTGAAACAAAAAATTAATAATAACAAAATGTCAGAAATATTATCAAGAACAAATTGTCAAAAGATACCTCCTTGAGATTCGAGCCTATGCGCTGCTTGGGCTTATTGCGCGTGGTTACCATGCGCTGCTGTCGGTGACATGCCCCTGACCGTTAGGACCGTATCTGCCTGCATGTCACACTAGTTGTCTCCATTTCACCAAATGCCTTCTGGATTGATTGAGAATCATGAAAACAGAGGCCATTTTTGGACAGTTCTTTGATCTGATTTTTGCTTCGTTTCTGTCGATTTCCTGGATTT